CAATCTGCAAGAAACTGAGGGCTGTGGAATGGTGCAGCTCTGCTCCTTTATTTAAGAACACTGTGTCTATGGCTTGAATCTATAAATTGGAAATAAATTTAAATTTTACTTTAATGATTATAAGCAAGACATTTCTCTAAGGCAAATTTTTGTTGGATTGACTAAGAGACAGATTCCCCTTCATCTGTATCTTTAGCTGTGTCATATATTTAGAAATAGCTGTATCTAACTCCTCTTTCCCAATGCTTTACCTTCACTTTATAAATTATTTTTAAATGTTTTTATAGATTTTTATAGAGGAAGGAAGAGAGAGAGAGAGAGAGAGAGAGAGAGAGAGAGAGAGAGAGAGAGAGAGAAGAGAAACATCAATGAAAGAGAGAAACATCAATCCATTGCCTCCTGATCACACCGGGACTAGGGACTGAACCTGCAACCTGGGTATGTGCCCTGACTGGGAATCGAACCCGGGATCTTTCTGTGCATGGGAGGACCCTCAACCAACTGAGCCACACTGGCCAGCCTATACTTTACCTTTATTGACTTGGCATCATTTTTCAGCCAATTTTTAATGCTATTTAAATGTTGTCTTTTCTTTGTTTACCCATAGATTATGCATTTGTTGTTTTAATCTTATCTACCAAAGGTTGCTTCTTCAAAAATCATTTCATTTTTAGATGATATGATTTATAAGACAGTAGTGTTACAGAGCTCAGAGTCTTAAATACACTAAGTTTTATTGTTGGAATGTAAAGATTTTAATGGCGTCCATCAGGTGCTATTGATAAGAAATGTAATGTCTTTATTTTAACATTTAACAAGCATTTAAAAAGCATAGTTCTGAATATTGGAGAGGAGCTAAATGTTAAAATTAATGAAAAATACTTCTTTATGGGTAGCTTATAAGCTGTAAGAAGGCGATATAAATACTTTTTTTACACATTCATTCACAAATGTTTATTGAGATATTATGTTCTAGATATCATGTGGTAGATGTCTATACAATTCTCTTTACAGGGGTTATAATCTGGGGTGAGCGTGGGGAGTACAAGGAGGATTGTAAGAAGGAGACAATTTAAAAAGAACTGAAGGCAGACGGGAAAGTGCTGAATATGAGCTAACTAGGGAGAGAAATAATATTAGGATTTGACAGAACATTGGAGTTTTTTCATAATGCTGCTTTAAGTCAAATTCCAGAAAAGATGTTTTCATTTGAAAGTTATTCCACAGTGTAAACAAATCCTATGAGGTTTTAAAACCAGAGGGTGCACTTTTTCTAAAATAGGCCAACGTATATCTAACAAAAGAATTAATGTATATATGGGAATATTGGTCCAAATAATAACTTGAACTAAATATTAATTTTAAGTCCATTTTAATAGACACTTTTGTACCTATTAAAGGTGAGAAGTTGGTTAGTTTTGCTGTTTACTGTGGCATTTATGTGTTTTGTTCAAAAAATTAGTTAAAATTGATAGAAACTATTTCAACAATCTTCCTAGTAATTTAATACATTTGATATTCTCCTAAAAAAACAACAAAAAAAGAGTAAACTGTCTGATAGTGTTAAAGTTATTTTTAAGCATAAGTCTTACTGATTTTGTAAATGGTTCACTTAAATTTGTATAACACTTGATTTGTGAATAAGAGAAGAGGTTCAGAAAAGAATATTATAAGGAAAATTAGGCAGGCTCTTATTTTCTAGGAACTCTCATTAAAGAAAAAGCCATTAAATCTTTACTTCTAGAGTTGTTCCATTTTAGGAAGCGTAGGCCCTGGTGAAGAGGATAAAAAAAGTTTAGGAAATGGCAATTAAAATGCTAATTTCTCTTGCAAAAACCTGGCTAATATCTGAAGGCCTAATAGAAAGTGGGAATGATTATTTTTAGAGGACATCCATTCTAATATACTTTAACTTTTTAAATTAAATTTGTTAGGGTGACATTGGTTAATTATGTTTCATGTGTGCAATTATATAATACATCATCTGTATATTGCTTTGTGTGTTTACCACTCAAAGTCAAATCTTCTGTCGCCATATATTTGATCCCCTTTACCTTATCTTCCCCTTTCCTCTGGTAACCAGCACACCGTTGTCTGTGTCTATAAGTTTTTGTTTGATTGTCTTATTTGTTCATTTCTTGCTTTCAGTTTTATATTCTACACTAGAGGCCCGGTGCACAAAAATTTGTGCACTCGGGGGGAAGGGGGGATCCCTCAGCCTGGCCTGTGCCCTCTCGCAGTCTGGGACACCTCGGGAGATAATGACCTGCTGGCTTAGGCCTACTCCCAGGTGGCAGAGGGCAGGCCCAATCCCTAGGTGCAGCCCCTGGTCGGGCTCAGAGCAGGGCCAATTGGGGTGTTGGGGCGCCGACCCCTGTCATGCACAGAGCAGGGCGGATCGGGAGGTTGCGATGCCACCCCCAGTCATGCTCAGGGAAGGGCCGATTGGGGGGTTGGGGCACCGCCCCCTGTCACACTCAAGGCAGGGTCGATGGGGAGGTTGCGGCGCCACCTCCTGTCACGCACAGAGCAGGGCCCATCAGGGGGTTGAGGAGCTCCCCCCTGTCACTCAGAGAGTAGGGCCAATAGGGGAGTTGGGGCGCCGCCCCCTGTCACACACAGAGCAGGACGGATCAGGGGGTTGGGGCGCCGCCACTGTCACACTCAGGGCAGGGCTGATGGGGAGGTTATGGCTCTACCCCGTCACACACAGAGCAAGGCCCATTGTGGGGGGGGGGTTGTGGCGCTGCCCTCTATCACCCACAGAGCAGGGCCGGTCAGGGGGTTGGGGCGCCGCCACTCTCACACTCAGGGCAGGGCCGATGGGGAGGTTATGGCTCTACCCTGTCACACACAGAGCAGGGCCGATCAGGGGGTTGGGGCGCCGGACCCTGTCACACACAGAGCCGCAGGGCAATCAGAGGTTGGGGAGCTCCTCCATATCAGGCACAGAGCAGGGCTGATCAGGAGGTTGGGGCACCTTCCCCTGTCAAAAACAGAGCAGGGCAGATAGGGAAGTTGTGGCCCGCCCCCTGTCACACACAGAGCTGTAGGGCAATCAGGGGGTTTGGGCGTTGCCCCCTGTCACGCTGGTCCTGGTGCCGGGAGGCCTCTCGGTTCCGCTGATCCCAGTGCTGGGAGGCATATTACCCTTTTACTATATAGGGTAGAGGCCTGGTGCATGGGTGGGGCTGGCTGGTTTGCCCTGAAGGGTGTCCTGGATCAGGGTGGGGGTCCCCACTGAGGTGTCTGGCCAGCCTGGGTGAGGGGATGATGGCTGTTTGCAGCTGGTCACACACCCTTCAGGGTGGGGGTCCCCACTGGGGTGCCTGGCCAGCCTGGGTGAGGGGCTGAGGGCTGTTTTCAGGCTGGGACTGAAGCTCCCAACTGCTCCTTTTTCCTTTTTTTTTTTTTTATTATGGGCCAGCTTTAGCTCTGAGGCTCCAGCTCTTAGGCCTCCGCTGCTAAAAGTAGGTATCTGGTTTGTTTCGGTTTGAAACAATGTATAACTCCAGCTCTGACTCCAGCTCTGAGATCCCAGCTCGCTGAAAGCTGGTTTCTGGGGTTTTGTTTAGCGTCTATATTTTTTAAAATGTTTCAGACTGCAGGCTCAGAGGCCTGCAAGGCAGGCGGGGAACGTTGGTTTCCTCCGTCACTGAAGCAAGCAAGCCTCATGTTAGTTTCAAGCTGTCTGGCTGCCAGCCGCCATCTTGGCTGACAGTTAATTTGCATATCACCCTGATTAGCCAATGGGAAGGGTAGCGGTCGTACGCCAATTACCATGTTTCTCTTTTATTAGATAGGATATGAGTGAAATCATATGGTTCTTGATTTTTTTCTGTCTGACTTACTTATTTGAATGTAATACATTATACACTAACAAGAGAAAAATAATCAAAACATAACCTTCAACTCTGTATTAATAATGAATGCAGTTTAAGGCTATACTATTTTACATGATAATCCTGGCCATATATAGCTTCTGAGCTCTTGAGCTTTTGAAATGTGAATAGTGCTTCTTAAAAAAACTAAATTTATAATTGTATTTCATTTTAATTGTTTTAAAAATTGATACATGAAAATTTTAAGTATGTTTGGAACAACCTATGTATATGAATCTACTTTATAACTATAAATTTTATGAAATCTAAATACAGATCAAATATTTTCAGATGAAAATTTGCATCTAAACTGAGATGTCCCATAAATGTTAAACATATTTTAAAGACTTAGGATAATAAAATGTAAAATATCTCCAATAAAATTTTTATAATGATATATATTGATAAATAATGTTTTGGATCTATTGGCTAAAGAAAAAATATATTATTAAAGTAAATTTCATCTTTTGTTGTTACTTTTCAAAATGTAACTATCAGTAAATTTAAAATTACTGTGTGGCTTGAATTATACTAGTATTTCTTTTGAACCATGCTGGTTAAAGGTGCTTCTCCACATCATAGAATTCATTTGATGCCTAAAAATGTAATCTGGCACAGCAGCTAAATCTTATTAGCAAAATCATACCCATTTCCCCCCTCTTTCTGGGTCTACTGACAGTGATAGTATTGTTAATAATCTCAAAATATTTTTAAAGCAATTACTGAGTCTGATAACTAATTCAATATCATTGAGTTATTTTGTTTAATTCATAATAATTACAATCTTTTATTTGATATTAGAGAGAATAAAATTTACAAAATTTTAGTCAGGCAAATTGGTGAGAAATTGCATGTCTTTGTTTAAATATTATCATCCTGTATTAAGTAATATGCAATGTGAAGCACTTAAAGTACTTAAACTGTACCTGGGAGAGTTAATGATGTCTGTTTTCTCATAAGATGTGTCCTTTTTATATTTTCTTTCATCCCCACCTCAAACAAAATGGCCAGACATGGCCAAATGCGTTGTGCTTTTTGTTCTGGGAGGTATCTATAATAGGTGATAAATGTGACTTTCATCATGATCTTGTCTCATTGTTCATCTGTCAATTCTTCTAGGAGGTGATTTCCTCTCCTATCTGAGAAAAAAGAAAGATGAATTAAAAACCAAACAATTAGTGAAATTTTCATTAGATGCTGCTTCCGGTATGTCATATCTCGAGAGTAAAAAATGTATACACAGGTAAGGAGAACATTTTAAAAACATTTCCAGTTTTATTAATAGAATGCTAGAAAATTATATATTTGTTACAATACAGCAATAAATTTCTTTTACAAAACTTAAGTATTTTCATTTTAGTTTTCATATTGTGTGTGAAAGCATTATTTGATAGTTATTTATACAGGAGTGGGCAAAAGTAGGGTTACAGTTTCTATGTAAAATAATACAATAATAAATAGTACAAGAATAAACTTTGTTTCATGTACTCACAACTGTAAACCTTTTGCCCATCCCTGTATAGTTCACAGAAACTTTTTTTTTCTATCTTACTTGAGGTAAATACACCTACTTAGGCCTATCAAGTAAAATTCGTTTTGTTATAATCATGAATAACATAGTGATAAGTTATACCACAAGTTAGTCATATATGCAGCTACAGTCTCATAGCCAATAAGACTGTGTCATGTGTCACCTATTTGCAGTTTTTAAAAGAATTTACTTTAAAAGTCATGGAAAAGCATAACAGTAGAACAACAATTCATGACAGTGAATTTAACCAAGGGTAAAAGATTTTAGTGTACTAGTTATTTCAAATAAAATTTTAGAAAACATTCTCTATATTATAACCAATGACTAGTTCTCAATGCTTTCTTGATTATGATTAATGTTCTTTAATGCTAAATGTTAGTACAACTTAAGATCTCTTGCAGAATTCATGTCAGATCATAAATACGGCTAAGTCTATAATTGTAAAATGTAGTGTACAATTGATGAAGTTTTTATTTGTTGGAAATAGCACATAATACTATTTAATGTGGAGCAGGGTTCTTGTCAGATTGAATTATCTAAGCCTGTTTAATAATTAAGGTATATTTTTCTCTAGTGTGTTTTATTATGCAGCCTTTGATTTAACATTCTGGTGGGGTTATATAGTATATATAATTAGAGCAGAATAAAATTAACTTCCCCGATATACACATCAATTGATATTTTTTATACTTAATCCCCCCAATACACATTTTTTAAAATATATGCTTTTATTTTAAGAAGAAGGAAGAGGGAGAAAGAGATAGAAACATCAATGATGAAAGAGAATCATTGATTCACTGCCTCCTGCATGCCCCACACTGGGGATTGAGCCTGCAATCTAGACATGTGCCTTGACCAGGAATCGAACCGTGACCTCCTGGTTCATAGGTTGACACTCAACCATTGAGCCATGCTGGCTGGGCCCCCCATACACATTTTGCTTAGTGTTCAATTTTATTCTAAAACTAAAATTAAGGCTTATGTTTCAAATATGGTTTAATGATTGTATATATTTTAAAACATTTAATAGGGAAACTATTTTTCTAGAATTTAAGACACCTATAACTGTCATTGTATTTATGTTTTACTTTCCATAAATAGAGATCAAATTACATTATAACAGATATTTTTAAAGACTTAACGTATTTGATGTTGGACAAAATTGTATTCTTTACTTTAGTAGACAAAACACTTTTTGTTCAAAGTAACAATAAAGGGTTTTGCCTTTTTGAGGAAATCAATAATTTTGATTGCTCAGATGTTAATGCTACTTTGGGTATCAGATTCTCTACTCTAGTTATTCATTTTTTCTCAGATTCCTTTTCACACATTAAACTATGGCTTTAAATCCTAATGCACATTATTGTAACTGTTTTACTAATTGTCAGTTACCAATAACATTCTTTAATTTCTATTGCATTGGGGTTGTTTCAATTTCTTGCTGCTTTTGTAGTGATTGCTTTTCTTGCAAGTGGAGGGCTGTATATATTTTTTTATCTGTATCATCAGAATCGAAACCATTCTAAGTCATAGATAGCAGTTAATTTTAAAAAATTTATCCCACTCACCAAACCACAACATATCTGTTGTAATGTTATATTTCCATTTTGCTTTTTAAGAAGTTTCATGCATTCACAAATTTTTGAAAGTCAGCCTGTGCTTGACCACATTTCCTAGAAAGTTGTGCATAGCTGTGTACTATCTGCCTGCAGAGAAGGTTCCAAATGGAATATCTTGAATAATGGCATTGAGAGCAGATATGACAAATAGGTTTCAGTGACAACTTTCAGTGATTGGTAGTGGCTCTCTTGTTGTGTATTGAGAAAGATTCCAGGATTAGCAACAAAGATTCCAGTGACAAATTAGTCAAATCTGTCAGGGTGCTGACAAATGTTAACACACAAGCTCCATGTCATCTGTGGCATAAAACATTTTTTGTCTTTACTTTTATAAATATTTTTGACATGATTTTTCTTACTAGTTATAGCAACAATAACATATTTTTCTATAATTACTTCCATTGATTTCTTCTAAACTATCTGCTATTACTTTCTTTGTTAATCATGATTCCTGAATGAATTTTATGTTAACTCTAGCCGGTGGTCTTTCGTTTCCCTTCAAACTTATGTAAATGCTCTATTGGGTGAATTCACTTTTTTCCTATTTTAGTTCCTCCCCAGTGCATGACACTGTAAGTCATTCTTTGGGTTGAATTTTTTATGGGAGTGAATTGTGCTGTGAAACTCTGTTTCTATGTGTCATCCTGTGGCAATATTTCTGTGTTAGCAGTAGTAATTACAATGGAATTTTAATTGATTTATAGTTAAAACTTTCACTCAAGACATGTTTTACGTTTTTTCTCCCAAGAAATACCAAACATATAGTATTCATTACAGTGAAAGATGTTTTTTTTGTCATTGGAAAAATTTCCAATGAGGTATTTCAAAATCAATTAATATAAAACATCTGAAGTTTCATTTTTCAAGATGCAAAAGACTCATTCTTGACATCCCAAAATATTACCAAAATATATGCATGTCTATGAATTATAAAGTCTTTCTCTCACAAATCAAAGCAAAAAATTTAAACATGCCTTCCATTTTACATGAAGTTATAAATTTTATCCTGTTCCCAGATTAGAGGTTACTGGAATTCAGTACTTGAAAATAATTGTTTCTCCCCAAAATAGTATCTTAGCTATTGGGGAACATACTTTCTTTCTTTGGCTGTGTTTTATTGTTTTGATTACAAGAAGAGCAGAGCAGTGTTTCATTATAGGTAAACAAGTATGACAGCTATAAAATGAAAACAAGTAATTGCATAAAGAAATGGCCTGCTTTTGGAAAGTGCTCTTGTTGTAATTCCCATTTAACTTCCAGGAGAGTTCTCTTGATAGTCTGGGTTTCTAATTGAACTATTTCTATTTATAGCTGAGCAGCACTGGATATTTTGCATTTTACTTTAGTTGTATTCAGCTGAATTTTCTTTATTACTTTTCTGTAGGCCAATGTGAAATTATTTCCTACTTGTAGTTTATATGAACATTTGAAGTACACTGATAACTTGGGGGGTGGGGAGGGTGGGGGTGAATGTGTTTACTTGCAATGACCTGCTATTAGATTGTTAGATGCCATTCTAGAAAAAGTTTTAAACTTAATTAATTGACATTAACTGGATTGAAGGTTGACATAATCAATTTAATGATATGACAGTTGTGGTTTTATTGATGATGAATCCTGAAAGATTTATTCTTATTTAGGACTATTGCTAAAAGTTGGTTTTGTGGCATGTCCTTTGTTTGATGTCCCTGGGAAGTAAAGGGAGAATAAACTCTTGATTGCTCTGTATTTGAGTTAAAGATCATAATCTATGGGGAGTTTTGGAAGCAAATCTTAATTTCATGATATTCTGTGTCATTGTCAGTACCTGAAAAAGGTGTTTTTAGAGGAGTGCTGTAGAATATGACTTGCTTTTCTAATTTTAAATCTTGTACTGATTCCTCTTTGGTTTTGGTTGCTCTTACCACAATGATTTTGTTGTTGTTGTTTTGGAGTAAGGTTTAACAACTCTCCAAATTAAATTATATATAAGACCAAATTTAATTTATGTTTAGTAAGGGTGTTTTTTTAATCCATTGAGAACGATATTTCTATCTTACATTTAACACATATGAGCACTTGCCTACTCTGGGCTAGGGTGATAGCAACATGAAAATCACAGTACCTGCCTTCAGATGGACGTAACAAAATAATAATAATTTTAAAAGATAATCAATTTAATGGTAATACACACAAAATCTCAAGGGAGTGATATCACAAGGGTCTAATGTGACCTGTCATGAAAGGGGCTACTGTGAAAGTCATCAGGGCAGGTTTTGCAGAGAATATTGTTGGCGTGAGACTTGATAGATGGGAGTGTCCTTGAATAGAAGGGGAAAATATTTCAGCGGAAGGAAACTTGTTTGCTAAGTTACATTGTTTTTCACAAGAGAACAGGATTTAATCATGGAACTGCAAAAAGCTCAGTATAGGAATGGGAAGTGCAGAGGACATGTGGCTGAGCGAGGTACACAGGGTCCTCCTCTCTAAGGGTCACGTACCCATGTAATTTGGCTGACTATAGGAATATCTAGCCATACATCTGGCTAATTTTAAGAAAGCTAAAATGCTACAGTGTTTAACTGGAAAAGAAAAGTAATTTGAGCAAAATTTGCAAAACCCTGAGAAATCCATGTATATAAAACCCGAAATGACCAGTCAACTCATGGGCAACTGGCAAGCACAGCTGTGGCGGCGTGAGCCTCTCCTGCCTCTGGCAGCACTACCGAGTGGCCGCTGCAGCACGCCCAGTGCGGGGGAATGAGCAGGAGTCGCGCTGCGCCTTCCCAGGCTTGGGCTCAGGCTTCTCCCTGGCTGCCTGCTGCTTCACGCACTACTACATCCCTCGATGTGGGACTGCCGGTTTTGGCTCGGTCCCAGTCAGGGATCGGGCCTAAACTGGCAGTCCGAAATCCCCCGAGGAGTCCTGGATTGTGAGAGAGTCCAGGCCAGGCTGAGGGACCCCACCGGTGCACAAATCCATGCACTGGGCCTCTAGTGTATATATAACTTGTGAAAAGGTGTGGGTATGGGACCAATTTTATTTTTAAGTTTCATTGGAAAAGCTAGTTTAGGAAAACAGATTTCCCCAAAAGGAACAATATTACATTTTAC